GAACAGTTTTTATGTGTTAGTTAAAATACATTTAATTGAAAAATAATAAAGTAAAACATGAATTTAATTGAAAAATAATAAAGTRAACCTTTGAAAGAACCCAACAAAAGCTGGTCTGACGATTGTAATGCTTACTTGAATTTTAGTCTGTATTAACGGAGCTGGGCTGTCTTCTGGAATCTGAGTTCTTTCTTATCCATTCAATCTATCCTTTTATATTCTGTTTTTCCTCTTTTTTTTTTTTTTTACAATTGTATTGATAAAAGATATTTTAAACCTTCTGTATTTTTCTTTGTGTTATTTGCAGTTGCAGAGTACTTTTCTGTTCTCTTAACGACTGCCCGTAATCACCACACACTCCTGTCCATCTGGTCTAAATGGTCACTGACCGGTGCGTGGTAGTGGAGAGACTGCACACTTGTCTTTTGACTCTCATTTCTGCTGAGAAGTCACTTGTCAGTCTTACTTTGGCCTTTAAAAGTGTCATGCTTTTTATCTCTGGCTGGAGTTAGATTTTCCTCTTTGTCTTCTGCCCTTACCACTGCCCCCATCCATGTAGCCTTTGTGTACTCTGCTTTGCGTTTGCAGATTTGAATTTACGGATTGACAAGCTTCAGTAGCTTTTCACAATTCGTGATTATTCTCTTAAAATACCACTTTGCCATCTTAATCCATTCAGGCTGCTGCTAAAAACCAAAATGCCGTGGACTTGGAATTGCTTTCTCACAGTTCTAGAGGTGGGCAGTCCGTGGCGCCTTGCTGCTGTGTCTTCTTAGTGGAAGGGCAGGGGATCCTTCTGGGACATCTTGCAAGGGCACTGATCCATTCATGAGCACCCCTGACCTAATCACCTCCACCTTCCAGTTCTGTTAGAAATACCGGGGTGCCCCAGGGAATCAGGCACATGCTCAGAAGCCCTCAGCAAGGCAAAGGTTTCCTCTGCAGAAGGGCGTGTGCCGGTCCTGGCTGGCAAGCCCTGGGCAGGCCGCCCTCCGGCTTTGGCCCCTAGTGCAGCACTGCCCTTGCTCTGATGGGAGGAGCTCGCAGTTACAGTGTACACAATGCGCTGGTTTTATAAAAGGAGCAGGGGAAGGGAAGGGCTATAGTTAAAATGGCTCCTGTTGGATCTTACATCCCAATTAAGGAGAAACACTACGTTCTGAGAATGGACTGCGGACTTTCCACTTCTCCCAGTACCACCACTTTGGAGGTTTGGATTCCAAYGAATGAATTGGAGGGACACAAACACTCAGACTGGGCACCCCCATTGCACGGCTGTCTCTTGGGTTCCACTTACATGGTGTTAGGCCATGTCCCTGGGACCTCACGTCTATATTTTCCATCTTTTTTCATTTTCTATTGCCTGTCTTCCCATTTGTTAACACTGCCTTCAGTTGTATCTAATCTCTTGAGTTCTTAATTCCAATTATCACATTTTTTAATTCTAAAACTTTCATTTGATTCTTCATAATTTCCATTCCTCTGGGAAAATTCTCCATTTTTCCACTTACTTCCTCTTTTTCTCTTACATGTTGAACATACCGATCATGATTATTTTTAAGACCTGTCTGATCACTCCCAGGTCTGAATCCTGCAGAGGTACATTTCTTTTGTTTGGTCTTTGTGTTTTCATTTTATTTTCCCTCTTTGTTTTTGATCATAGGGTCCTGTCTCTTCATGCCTTTGTACTTTGATATGTATTACATCACCTGCTAAAACATGGCCCTCCCTGAGGCCTCAAAAATCAGATCCCACTGTGACTTCTGGGGTTCTCCTCCTGGAGGACCTTGAACTCAAGTCTTTTTTCCCTAGCAGCACCTGGCCCTGAAGTTTTCTCTTGATTTTCAGAGATTTTCTGCTTAGACTTTTAAAATTCGATCCCACTTGCTGTGTTCAGTGGCACAAGCCTGTAATCCCAGCAGTTTGGGAGGCTGAGACAGGAGGACTGCAAGTGGGAGGTCCGCCTGAGTAACTTAGTGACCCTTAGCAACTTGGGGAGACCCTGTCTCAAAAGTTTAAAGTACGGGGATGTAGCTTAGTGGTAAAGCACCCTTGATTTCAGTCTTCAGTATTAAAAAAAAATCCCACCCCTTATACCTCATTCAGAATTTGGCAAGTGTCTTAAGGGAGGAATGGGCTGTTTTAGTCTCCGTCTCTTTCCCTGGGATCTTGGCCTCCGGAGCCTGTTTCTCTCACCATGAGCTCTGCAGGTTTCTCTGTCCCTGGGCAACCACTCTCTGCCTGGGAAGACTCCAGACGCCCAGCCTCGTGCTGTGCCCGGAATGCAAATGCGCTGGCATAGTGTGTGGGATGCGGCTGCCGTCCCGCAGCCCTGCTCTGGAATCTTGGCCTTCCGCCCCTCTGCTTCTGTAGCGCTTTGATTCCTCGGGCAGACTTTAACACTCACGGCTTCCCCAGTGCCGTGTGGGCAGCCTGGGGTGGCCACCTGCGCTCTGCGATCTTCCTGGTCATTCGGATTTCGCCCCAGGTGGGAGTCTGCAGCTCCTGAGTGTTCATGTGGTGCCCCCGGAGAGGAAGTTCTAGCTCCGTGGCTCAGTGTGGACAGCCCGTTGTGCCCAGGCTGATCTGACCCGGTGCCCTGGGAGGCAGCACTGGGGTGCTGGGTGGGGCTGGCTCGACCCCCGGAGCTCCTGTGGCTGTCATTTCAAGGCTCTGGGAGTTACGATGGCTTCATAGCCTCCAGGGTGGCTGGGAGGGATTTCTGCCTTTTTTGTTCTTATTTTCAAAAAATCTCTTCTCTTACCACCTTTCACTGAACATCCTGCTGGGATATTCTGATGATGGGGATCCCACTGAGTGGTGTTATGGTTTGGAGGGGAGGTGTCCCCAAAGCTCACAGGAGAGACAGTGCAAGACGGTCCAGAGGAGCATGATGGGGTTGTGAGAGTCTTAACCCCATCTGTCATCAGTCCTCTGGTGGGATTAACTGCGTGGTGACTCAAGTGGCGTGGGTGTCAGTGCGGCTGGAGGAGGTGGGCATGGGGCGTGGCTGTGGGTATGTATCTGTACCTGGGGAGTGAGTCTCTGCTTCTTGGTCACCATGATGTGAGCTGCTTCCCTCTGCACACTCCGCCATGATGTTCAGCCTCACCTCCCGCCCCAAGGAGTGGACCGGCCTCTAGGACTAAGATACTCTAAAACTGTGAGCCCTCCCATAACCTTCTTCCCTGAAGTTGTGCTGACTAAGACAGTTGGTGTAGCTAAACTGGGAGGACTGAACACTTTGCAGTGTTGAACTGGACCCCTGCTCTCGATGCTTCTTCATTTCCACTTGTCGCTCTCTCAGCCCTTGGGATGACCTGGTCACAGGGGACAGCCTTTGGAGGGACACAGGAGTGCTGCTACCTGCTGCTCAGAATCTCACTCACAGCAGCCTCTCGCTCACAGTCTCTTGGCCTCACAGGCACAGGAACTTGCCAACATTATCAAACACAGGTCCTCAGACAAGTGCACCCTTTTGTCCACTCCTGGGTGGTCACTTGTAGATTCAAGAGGACAAACAGTAAGGGACCCACCACAGAGTGCAGTCAGGCTGTGCCCTGTGGCTGCAGGACTGTGCGGGGATAGTGGCTCAGGCTGGCCAGCGTGCACTGTTGGGCTGGTTGGGGAGGATAGCCTGCCTGTGGTCCGCCTGTGCAGCTGAGCTTGTGTGGCCCCGGGCCACGCCTCTGCTCCCTTCTCTGTCTGCAGAGATGGTCCTCCTTCCTGATCCTGGGTCCCCAGAGGGCCGCTCAGAGGGACTGCCCTCAATCCAGATGAGAGTCTGCAACAGTCCAGGAAGGGCACCTGTGTGCCAGATTGTCCTGGGGTGAGAGGAGTGGGCAGGGGGACAAGACAGAAGATGGCCTTTTCAGAAGGGGGGCCTGGGGACTCTCTGGGGGGGGTTTAAGGAGGCCACCCTTAGCCATCACTCTAGGTGCCTCTGCTGTTGGGGGCTCCTGTCAACAGACAGCCAAGCCGGTGTCCATGGCAGTGGTGAAAGCCCGAGAAGCCCTCTTCCTGTCCTGCTGAAGGGACTCTGCTTCCTGGGGCTCTGGCCCCCAAGAGGGACCCCTTGCCCTTCCACAGGAGTTCAGTTGCTGTGACTGTGGCTCTGCCAGAACCCCTCCCCCTCCCTGTCCCTGGGAGCACCGTCCTGACCCAGGACCCTGGGTGGGTCAGCCGAGGGCCTGCCCGCAGCCCTGGAGAGCGCTTTCCAACGGCTGTCCTCCCTGTTCCGCCGGAGGAGTTTCCAGTTCTGGGACCTGAGGGGCAGAGTTGCTTTGGGGCCGTGGACCTCCACCCTGTGGCCCAGGGGACTGTCACACAGCGGGGCCCCGCAGGTTGCATGAACTGCCCGTGACTTGGGGGTCCCAGTCTGCTGCCTGCTGTTCGGTGTGACTTGGGTGCAGCTTCGGGGATATCCTTCATTCCTCCTGAGAGAGGTCACAGGCAGCAGGAAATGGTGCTAAAGGGAGGCTTCCGCGCCTGGTTTGGGGCCCTGTGGTTCTTTTGAGTGCTGAGTTAAGTGCTTTAAGTGCTTGGTCCTGCTAATGCAGAGACCACACTGTGACTGGCTGTGGCTACCAACCCGGGCCCAGGGTGGAGGCTGCAGTCAGACACCCTTGACTTGGATCTTGGGCTTGTGCAGCCCCCACCCGGGGCTGYATCCTTAGGGGACCCTTCCCCAGGATCCCCAGGACCCCGCCATGGCTTGAGGTCACCTTCATGCCAGGTGCTTCCTGCTTCTTGTCCTGGGATGGAGCTTCTCCAGGCKCCACACCCCCATGTCCCCGTGCTGTACTCTTTCTCCCTGTCGGCCGCTGCTGCAGGTCCTGCTGGGTTGGAAGGGAGTGGAGAGGTTCTGTGGGTTCCGGCAGCACCCTGATCTTGGGTCTTTGGATATTGCTTCTAATTTGCATTTTCCTTTTCTCCAAGGTATCTCCTACCCTTGCCGGGGCTCCTGCCACCACTAGGAGTGACCGACAAAGGCCGCAGAGATGGCTGGGGCCTCGGTGAAGGTGGCGGTGCGTGTCCGCCCCTTCAATTCCCGAGAGATGAGCCGCGACTCCAAGTGCATCATCCAGATGTCAGGAAGCACCACCAGTGAGTACTGGGGATGTCACTGGTCCCCAGGCACCTTGTGTCTCTGGGTCAGGCCCCTCGGCCAGCCCGGCCCTCCTGGAGCCACCAGCTCCTGGTCACAGTGTCCTGCAGTTGCTGGGGCCGACCACACACCGAGGCCCACAGCAGCCGGCTGCCTCCCACAGCTCCCGAGTCTGAGCCAGGTGTGGGCAGGCCGCGCTCCCTCTGGGTTGGCACCTGCCTCTTCCAACCTCCAGCTCAGGTCCCATCTCTCCTCGTTGTCACCCGGCCTTCTCCCTGGCATGCCTGTGTTCCCATGTGACCTTTTATAAGGACACTAATCACAGGATTTAGGGCCACCTTAACCCAGGATGACCATGTTTTAGAAAATAGTTACCTCTCCTCCAAAGACCCTGTTTCCAGATAAGTTCACCCTCGAGGGTCCTGGGGGCACCATTTTGGGGGCACTCCTTCGCTCAGGACAGCCACTGCCCAGGTTTCCAGGCTCCCTGCTTCCTGCCTTTGGTTGTTTCTCCAGCCTCTGGCCAGTAGGAGGCCTGGCCTAGACACGGGGCTAGGAAACAGCAAGGTAGAGGAGGGAGGTTCCAGAAGGCCAGAGGCCAGGGCTGCCTGGAGGTCCTGCGCAGGCCAGGCTGCTGGGGGCAGAAGCCAGCTGGCGGGAGCTGCTTTGTCTTTCACTAGAAGGCTGTTTAGTGAGGTGCAGTGGACACGGTGCCCTGGACACGGAATYGGCAGACCCAGTGTTCAGCTCACTCAGTTTGTATGACCGCAGCACAGGGGTGACGAGCTCTGGCCAGCACCAGCTGCCCTCCATGCCTGGCCCCTCTGGCCTCCAGCCCTGGGCAGGCAGCCTCTCACACCATGGGCAGGGCTGGCCCTGGGCCCTCCACCCCTGGTCCTGTGTGAGCAGGCATCACTTCAGTTCTGGGGCTGGCTGGGCTGGGCAGGTGGCTTGGGACTGACTGAGTGGGCCCTACGGTACCCAGCACTGGCTCCATATGACACCTCCTCATCCTCGAGGGGTAGCATGGCAGGGCCTTGCGCCCATAGGGGCCGCCCCAGGGAGGGGCTCTTCGACCTGGAGTGGCCACCTTGCTGGGGTGGTGGCCCCGGCCTCCAAGAGTGAGCATTTGGGCGTCATGGGGGAGGGGTGCTGGGACACTCGAGGTCCCGTTGTGTGAGGTCATCACTGGGGTAAATGATGCTCTTACTGGAGTGTCCTGTGACCCAGCTTTGAGCCAGCAGGATCAGGGCAGCCTGCACCTCCATCCCTGGCTGCAGAGCTTGGCCCCGCCAAGCCCCTTGTCCTGTCTCGGCTGTGTCGACCGGGATCTTGGGCCCAGTGTGGGGGTGATCTGGGCTGGGCCGGGACTCTCCACCGCAGGTTACCCCGACTGGTGCTGGGGAAGGGGGTGGCACCTCCATGCCACGGGGAGGTGGTGCCCGTGTGTGTGGCCTGGGCCTCCAGACAGGGCCTCCAGCTGACTGGCTCCAGATGCCCGGCCCGTGTCCTCCCAGTTCTGGAGACCAGGGTGGGACAGCGGGGTGCGTGGTTGCCAGTCCCCGACATGGCTCAACCCTCCTCACCTCTTCCCAACCTGCTCCCCTCCCAGGAGCGTCCACTGGGATGGGCCTCATGAGTGAACAGGGGACTCGGGCAGGTCCTGGCGGGCTCCGGTGAGAAGCCACTCGGTGCCCCCCTTGCTGGCTGGCGTGCCTGGCTGCAGGGACATTCAGACTCCAGGAGTCACTCCGTGAAGTCGCTACACCGTCCCTGACCATGGCCTTCACCTTTGTCCCCCTGCCTGCCACCTGTGTCTTCACAGGCACCCTCCTCGTGGGTGTCTGTCTCCAAATGTCCCCTTTCTAAGGTCACCAGTTCCCTGGGATGGCCCCTGCCCCCGCCCAGTGACCTCATCTTGACAATCACACCTGCACTGGCCCTGTCTCCAAATAAGGTCCCATTGAGGGGCTGGGCACCAGGACGTGAAGTCGTGGGCTTTGAGTGGACATGAACTGAGGAGGACACAGCTCCTTGCTCTTGGGGAGGGCTTTTGCTCTTGATCCTGTCACCCTGGGTTACGGCAGCTGTCCTGGAGGCCATGCGGTGCCCAGTCAGGCAAGGAAAACCAGTCCTGGGTGGACAAAGCTGGCCTTCATCTCAGGCCTTGGGGCAGAGTCAGGAGGGACTTCCCTCATCAGACTAGATGATGTGATGGCCATGGTCCCCCAGGGTGCGGTCTGTCTCTGGCYTGGGGGCTGCAACAGCTCTCTATTAACCAAGGTCTCTGGGTTCTGATGGACCAGAGCGCAGTGGGTACAGTGGCCTGGGGCTGGGGACCARGTCCTCTCTGTCCTGGCTCAGGGGACACGGGCCTGTTGGCTTAGCCACCCCCTGGGTGGGAGTCAGAGGGAGGCGTGCTGGGCTCCAGGGGAGCTCCGGGACCCCTGTAGGCCCGGTATGGGGCGTCGAGGCCGGCTCCTGGCCTGCCCCCGGTTTGAAGGAGCCCATTTGGAACGCAGCCGCGGGTGTCTGGAGCTGGGCTTGGAGCTCGTGGGGGGTGTGGATCGAGGCTTGGTGCCGGTGGTGGGTGGTGTGCGGAGGACTGACCGTGCTCTGGCCCTGCTGCTGGCCTAGAAGGGGAGGAGAACCCAGGTGCCCGCAGCAGGGTCCCTGGGGCAGGGGCAGCAAGCCTGCCGCCGCCAAAATGCCCAGTGAGCCACAGGGTGCCCAGGCTTCTGGGTGCTTCCAGGGCGCGGCTGCCAAGCAGGACCTAGAGAYCTGCGTGGGGGTGGCAAGCAGGCCCCGGACCCCAGATGGGTGGGCTGTGGCTTGTGCTGTCACCTGTCTGCTGGCAGGAGCGCTGTGGGCAACCTCTGGCTGGAGGTCCACCCGGAGAGGGGCAGGGGCGACTCGCTGCCTGGAAGGGGCCCTGTTCCCAGTTTGGGAGCCTGGCTTCCTTGGAAACTGCTCCCACCTCTGGGGCACAGAGTTCCTGTCCGTGTCCCTCTCAGTGCATCCCTGACCACCTTCCCTGTGTCCCCTCTCTGTAGCCATCGTGAACCCCAAGCAGCCCAAGGAGACGCCCAAGAGCTTCAGTTTTGACTACTCCTACTGGTCCCACACCTCGGTGAGCCAGGGCTGGGGCAGTGTGTGGTGGTGTGGACACTGGCTCTGGCCAGCTCGCAATGTGGCCCTCGGGAATCCCTCGACCTCTTGAAGTGGCATGCTCCCCTCTGGGTGGGGCAGGGACCCCACCTGCTCCCCTGGTGGGTGTCCCTGAGCTGGGCCTGTGCTGCCTCCCGCAAAGGCACCCTCACTGGCTCTCARTCCTCACTGGGTGCAGAGGTCCCTCCTCCTGCACTGTCCCTGGACACGGTGGCCATCCTCAGGAACTGCCCCTTCCTCCCCAGCCCGAGGACATCAACTACGCCTCGCAGAAGCAGGTGTACCGGGACATCGGCGAGGAGATGCTGCAGCACGCCTTCGAGGGCTACAACGTGTGCATCTTTGCCTACGGGCAGACAGGGGCAGGGAAGTCCTACACCATGATGGGCAAGCAGGAGAAGGACCAGCAGGGCATCATCCCACAGGCAGGTGGCCGCTGGCCAGGAGGAGGGAGCCGGTGGGAAGGCAGACTGGGAGGTGGGTGGGGCAGGGCAGGAGGCCGGCGGAGGGACCACCAGGAGGCCCGCACCAGGAGGGGACGCACCAGGAGGGGACGCACCAGGAGGGGACGGCTGAAGCTGCTGGAGGGGGTGGGCTGGGAGCTGGCTGTGGACAGGCGTCCAGGGCAGGGGCGACCCGACGCGAGACACAGATGGCTCCTCAGATGCCACCAGAACTCTGGTCGCCCCGTCCAGTGCCACGCCCCCAGCAGGATCTGAGCTGCTTCCCACTCGACCGTGGGAGAAAGACGGTGGGAACCCCCGTGGGTGGCAGCTCCCGCCTCGTGCCCACGGGGACGGGGTGACAAGCAGACGTCCCTCTGAGAGGATCAGGGGCTCACCAGGGGACCTGGAACCAGAGGACACCAGCCCCTGGGCTGCAGGCTTTCTCGGTGCCTTCACGTCGGGATGTGCGTTGTGACAGGAGGGTCTGGCAGAGCAGTGTCCCCTTGGCCACAGCTGACTCTCCCTCTGTCCTTACAGCTCTGTGAAGACCTCTTCTCCCGAATCAACGACACAACTAATGACAACATGTCCTACTCCGTGGAGGTAGGGCTCCCGCTGGACACCTGCAGGGGACAGTGGGGCCCCAGGTGCCACCCCTAAGGCACTGGGGTCCCAGGTCCTGCCCCTAAGGCAGTGGGGTCCCAGGTGCCACCCCTAAGGCAGTGGGGTCCCAGGTCCTGTCCCTAAGGCAGTGGGATTCCAGGTGCCGTTCCCAGGGCAGTGCTTTGCCACTGGTCTGTGCCCTCAGCTTGTCATTGCTTGTCCCCGGGGCCACCCTGCCGGCTCCCCTGTGCGGTCTTGGAGACGTGTGGAGCCCAGCTGTTGAGTGGCTACTCGGCCCCGTGCTGGGACGGGCGCCTGGGGGCTGCCTGGCCCTGGTGTGACCAGGGGTGGTGTGCTGTGGGGAGCTGGCCCCTGACGGTGTGGCTGTCCTGCAGGTCAGCTACATGGAGATTTACTGTGAGCGTGTCCGTGACCTCCTGAACCCCAAGAACAAGGGCAACCTGCGCGTGAGGGAGCATCCGCTGCTGGGGCCCTATGTGGAGGACCTTTCCAAGCTGGCCGTCACCTCCTACAATGACATCCAGGACCTCATGGACTCGGGGAACAAGGCCAGGTGGGGGATGCTCCTTGCCCCCGACCCTCGCCATGCCTGACACTGTTAGTTCCCGAGGAGGGCCACCTTCCCCTCTGCCCAGCTCTTGGGGCACCCGAGGGTCCCTGTTGGGGTCTGCCTGGTGGCCCTGATTTCCTCATGAGTCTGGGGCCATCAAGGGCATGTGCCAGCCTGGGAGAGACCCAGACCCTTGTTCAGGGACATGTCACTACGTGAGGCTGCTTCTCTCTCCTCCAGCTGAGGGCTTGTGCTCTCTGTGGGGTGCTGGCCCCTCCGGTAGGGCCCGTCTTGGTCCCCGAGGGCAGTGCTCTGATAACCCAGGGCTCCTGAGACTGTGAGCTGCCCTGCCCTGGCTTCCTCCTGGACACTCTGGGTGTTCTGTGACCACTGTCCCTCTCTGCCACAGAGACTAGTCAGCCGGCTCCTGGGTGGGGCTGACCCACCCTGAGCCCTCTCTCCGCCATTCCCCAGGCAGCCTCTTGGCACCTGGTGACTGAGTCTGGGGACATTCTCTGAGGTCCCTGGCAGGTTGGGGCAGTATGGGAACCAAACCCYGGCCCTCTCTGGCAGGCTTGGGCTCTCCTCTGGAAGGTCGCACTGCTGGCCCTGGCATCTCCTGGGCACAGGGTGGGCTACTGGGCTCTCTGGAGGGGACGGCGTGGGCAGGAGGGTGGGATGTGGTGGACATACTCTTCCTCTTCCCAGGGGCTTTCTCACACCAGGGCCCTCAAGGACCTCTGCCCTGCTGGGGTTCCTGAGCCCCTGGGAGCAGGGAGCACCCCTCGGTCATGGCATCCCTGAGGTGCCAGGCACCAGTGAGGGACAAGGACCCCCCTGGTGGGCAGTGGGAAGGCTGAGCAGGAGGCTGGCAGGAGGCACGGTCACCCCTGCCTGGCCCGAGCAGCCCTGGAGCCTGCTCCCCTGGGGTGGCCTGACATGGGACAAGGGTGATCTCGTGTGGCTTCCTGCTCCCAGGACGGTGGCGGCCACCAACATGAACGAGACCAGCAGCCGCTCTCACGCCGTCTTCAACATCATCTTCACCCAGAAGCGCCATGACGCAGAGACCGACATAACCACCGAGAAGGCGAGTGGGGCCCAGGCAGGCGGCGCCACCAAGAGCAGCGGCCAGGGTCAGGCAGGGCAGCACAAGGACCCAAACCACACCCTGGCCTGTGAGATGTGGGCACTGCCCTCTGCCAGGAGCCAGGTGCTGCCCGTCTGCCACCTGGTGTTGGTCCCAGTGGGGTGCTGGCCAGTCCGGGAGGCCACCTATTCTCAGAATGTGGGGGGGATCGGGGTTCAGGGACCGGGTCCTCCTCCCTCCACCTCCTGCTGCTGGGCAGTTTTGGTGGGGACTGTGGGGACGCCCCAGGCAGCACCAAGGACAGAGGTGAGGCGGCCTGCCTGGTACCCCCAGAAGTGGCAGCAGAGGTGGGGTGGCAGGGCAGTTAGTAGTCAGAGATGCCCGTGGGTTCTGGTGCAGGCGGGCAGGGCTGCGTCCTCTGCCTCCACTGGGAGCCGGGCCCTTTCCAGGAGCAGGGCCTCGGGTGGGCACCAGCATCTCAGCTAGGGACGCCCTGCTGAGGGCACAGCCGCCCACTGCCCCTGTGCCCTTCCCACACACCTCAAGTCCTCGGTGGACTGGTGGGCACCCTCTCCTGTCCCTGTATCCCAGGGGCCCCTGGAGGGGGAGTGGGCAGGCCTGGGCCTCTCCCTTTYTGCCTCCAACTGTGCCCCACCCCTGAGCCCCCCAGCCCTCCTCCAGTCCCCTCAGAGGGGTTTCCCCGGCGGCTCGGGGTCTGCTGAGGGCCTGGATGAAGGGTGTCTCGGTCCCTGGGGGTGCTGGGGGTCACCTCAGGGCCACCTCCCATTGACCCCTTGAGGTAGTAAGAGGAAGCTCAGGGAGGCCCAGGGGGGCTGGGACCAGAAGGAGGGCATGGTCAGTGCCCAGGCAGACGGCCGCTGGCTCCTCCTTCACTGGTCAGGGCCCTGAGGGTCCCTCTGTGCCCCGGCCTGTTAGACAGCAGTGGGCCTGCCTCTGGTGTGGTGGAGAGCAGCTGGGCTCCCTGGGGTGGGCTGGCCACCGCTATGGATGCTCTGTGGGAGAAGCTGACGCATCTGCCGTTGCAGGTCAGCAAAATCAGCCTGGTGGACCTGGCCGGCAGTGAGCGGGCGGACTCCACGGGGGCCAAGGGCACGCGCCTCAAGGTAGGGCCAGGCTGCTGTGCCACGGGCTCAGCCAGTGGGGCCCAGTGTCCAGGGAGAGCTGGGCAGGAGGTCTGGCTGGGCTGGAGGCGCGGGGCCACAGCCTGGGCAGGGAGTGGGGGGCCCAGCCAGAGCCTTGGCCTCCAGTGGCCCAAGGCCATTCCTGCTGCCCTGCTTGAGTGAGTGAGGACAGAGCTCCGGCTGGAAGCYGTACTTCTCCACGGTCCCACTGTCCTCACACCAACCCTGAGGGGCACGGCCGTGCGCTGGCCTCCTGAGAAGAGAGTCCTAGTGTCAAGAAGGGGCGTTCTTGGCTTCCAGAGGCCCCCTTTGGTCCCCGCCATGACTTGATAGTGGGGAACAGCCTGGAAGTGGAACCTGGTGAGGACCGGGCCCTGGTGCCGGGTGCCGAGGCACTGAGGAGAAGTGCTGGCCCAACCCTGGTGGCCCCTGGGTGGCCAGGCAGAGTGGTGCTCTGCCGCACCTGCCAGGCCAGGCCCTGGAGCCCACCCGGACCCCCTTCCACCCACAGGAGGGAGCCAACATCAACAAGTCCCTGACCACCCTGGGGAAGGTCATCTCTGCCCTGGCTGAAATGGTGAGCTGGCCCCGCTTCAGGGCTGGACTGCGGGAGGTACTGTGGAGGCCCGTCCCCCTGGTGCCGAGAGGACAGGGGCTGCCGCTCTCACTCCCACGTCTGCAGGGCAGCTGTGGCCCCAGGGACAGCCCAGAGGCGGGCCAGGCTGGACTTGGAGTAGTGACCCTGTTCCTCCCTGGGCCTGCAAGAGGGGGATGTGCGGCTTTCCTCGCGGTCCTTCCCAGGGAACCACCATGGCCGTGCTGAGCCTGTGGCTGSCTTGCTCGAGGGAGGGCAGGGGTCAGCTCCCACTGCTGGTGGCCCCGTCCAGGCCACCCTCCAAGGAGGAGCCACGCCTGGGAGGCGAGGGGCCAGGCCTGTGGGCTCTGCAGAGCCAGCCCACCCACCCTCACCAAGACGCCCGGCTGTGGACAGAGAAGGGCCCCTGTCTAGAGAACCTGGCCCCTGAAGTGGCTGGGCTGGGGGAGGTTGCCGGTGACAGCTGCYGGGTGACTCCCGTAGTTTACCTGTTGTCACTCCAGCTCAGGGTGGCCCTCTTGGTGGGGGGTGGGTGAGGGCCAGCGGGCATGTGCTCAGGCCTCTGGCCGCTCTCCTGCCCGCTGTGCCTACCGGTCCTCCCCTCTCCACCTACTCTGGGGCCGCAGCCTCAGCCCAGGCCCTCAGACTCTTTCTGTCCTCTCTCTTTTCAGGACTCTGGGCCCAACAAGGTAAGCGACTTCCTTCCACCCCAAGGCAGGAGGCTGGAGGCAGAGCATTGGCCCAGCCCCTTGCCCACCTCAGCGGGGCAGCCCACCCCCACACCAGCCCCTCCGGGCACAGAGGGGCGCAGCCTGCCTCTGGCCCACAGTGCAGTGGGGAGATGGTGGTAAACAGCAGCGAACAGAGAAAACGCAACCACCAATTGGGACGGATYCCAGGGAGCAAGGCCACGAGGGGCCGACAGGAGAGGCCGTCTTCAGTGGGCTTGGACAGGGAGGCCTCCTAGGGGAAGTGGCCTTGAACAGAGACCTGGGCCCTGGGAGGACCTGCCAGGCAGGTCGCAAGCACCTGTGCCCTGTAGTCGGAGGGGACAGAGTGAGATGCACAGGTGGGCAGAGGTTGCTGTGGGAGGACACGGGAGGGGCATGTGTGGAAAGGTGTGAGGAACGAAGGAAGGAAGTCCACCAGGAACTCTGCAGGAAGTGCGCAAGGGTGTGTGTGCCRTGGGGTGAGGCGTGAGAGCGCTGTGGGCAGCTGTGAAACTCCGCGTGATAGACCAAGGAACTGTGCAAAGAGTGTGTGAGGGTCTGTGAGGAGCCATGAGGACCTGTGTGTGGAACTGTAAGAAACTCTGAGGATCTGGGTGAGGATCTGTGAGGACCTGTGAGGATCTGTGTGAGGATCTGTGAGGATCTGTGTGAGGATCTGTGTGAGGATCTGTGTGAGGATCTGTGAGGATCTGTGTGAGGATCTGTGTGAGGATCTGTGTGAGGATCAGTGTGAGGACCTGTGAGGATCTGTGTGAGGATCTGTGTGAGGATCTGTGAGGATCTGTGTGAGGATCTGTGTGAGGATCTGTGTGAGGACCTGAGAGGATCAGTGTGAGGATCAGTGTGAGGATCTGGGTGAGGATCTGTGTGAGGATCTGGGTGAGGATCTGTGTGAGAATCTGTGTGAGGACCTGTGAGGATCTGTGTGAGGACCTGAGAGGATCTGTGTGAGGATCTGTGTGAGGA